CAACTGACATTTTCAAAAGGCTTAGAAAACCTCTGCCAAACTAAAGTATATTTGGCCGTCTTCTGGTTCACGACGTACAGTTATATTAAGCTTATTATGTGAAATGAACACAAAAACTTGGGAAGAGCCGGGCATGCACGAAAAGAATTAGCTTGGTGTGGCACACATAGTTGCCACTATGTCCTACGTGGCCTGAAAAGTCACTTCCCTCCACATTCAAAACGGAATTAATTACACGTTGCGAAACCAAACCAAATGAGCCCAACTGAATATTAAAGAGCACATTCTAATCTATCAAAAAGTTACATAACAGCCTTCTACACCGACGACATCAGAAGATTTTCCCACGGAAACATGGTTCACGGTACGAGCTCAACGAGGTCGTCGAGGTACCATAGACCATTACGACGTCCCTGAAACGCTGGTCAAAAGCGGTCTTGCACAGTCACAGCTAGTGTCTCTGGAAGCTATTCACCAGTTAATCCATTGAAGAAATTATGTAGCAGCTTCAGGCCGGAGCGATTACGGTAAGCCTCGTTGAGCTCGACGGTGACGGCAGATGACGTCATATTCTGAAGACGGTGGGGGCAGTGAAGGAGGGCCTGCTTCTGCTTTTGGGGGGAGGGGGGACACCTAAGGAATATTCTGCCGTAAACATTCATCAACAACGGCATCCAGTGCGACGAAAATTTGATGATGTCAGCCATGGGCGAAGTGACTCTTTTTGCCCCCCCCCCTTCCCCTCTGTAGTTGCTGCGCTGTCGATCAATGTGTTGGTTAGAATTTTAGGGCTGTACATTTTAGGCTATGCCACCATCTGAGAGTTCTGCTCAACTCATTTGTGCTCTGTAAATCTTAAACCATATTCATCGTAAATTTGTCAGATTCTATTGATTACAAGGGTAGTGCTGTCCTCATGAACGAACACACAACAGGCACTTATTTTGTTATGAATTGCTCTAAAAAACGCAGCATTACAAGAGCTCATATTTATCATCATTTTCCAGGGTGACGGAACTAGGCGTGGAACTGGAAAGTGCAAATGCGACCCCGGTTATTCTGGAAATATGTGTAGACAATGCGCTCTCGATTTTTACGAAAAATCCAGGACAAACAAGTCTGTGGAATGAACCGAATGAGAGATGCACAAATACACCTGGTTCTTTCGAATGTTCATGTTTAGATGGATACAAGAGAGATGGATCAGAATGTGTGCTGGATATAGAAGGTGAGTGGTTTCAATTGCCTTGAAGGTTGGCAACAAGATTGTCTAAGGCATTTTCAAGATATGTTGAATATGTTCTGTCATTGCTGAGAACTCTAGAATAGCATCCCACGATTACCAAGCCATCAAATCTTCTCCACTCTCTCGGTTTTGTATTTTTCTAAGGTCTGAGTTCTAAAGACCATTTCTCATTATGTGTTGTTATGCCAAACCATCAAGTACCATAATTAAATTTTTTTGGCTTTCAATAAGCCGTTGCACTATAGCGAAATTTTTCTGCCCAACTGCTGCTTTCTCACCGTTCACCCAACAGAGCTCCAGCGGTTCATATTTGTTGTAGGTTCGATTTTTAGAGGCCTAAACCGTCAATACTCTAGGAAGGATACGTGCAGAGATGGGTTTGTAGTTCTCGTTCCCAGTCGACATAGTATGGGG